CTCCAGGGATTGAGGCCTGAGTGGGCCGTGGATGGCCTTTTATTGGACTCATCCCCACCAAGCAACACGCAGTTCCTCATGCTGCAATTAAACCATCTCTTTCAGCGTTTTGCCTCATTGGGCCGTAAAGCCAAGCCTTACATGAGGGCTGCGTTAACACGTTGCCCCCGTTACACACCGGAGAGGTCCCGAAAGTGTGAGATTTGGGGGTGGAGGAGGTCTCACTTCAGAGCTCAGTAAGAGATATATTCCACTTCCACAAGTCCATGGTTCCAGTCTGGGGAAATCTCGAGAGATCCTTACTTCCAGCCCCCACCCAAGCACCACCACGACTGTAAGAGATCCAGTGCCAGGAGGAAGCGGAAGCGCGTCCGCTGGGGACGAGGCAATAAAATGAGCTGCTGTCGTCACGCCTGGAACAGAGCTTATAGCGATTAAACAATGTCCCTTTTTGTGCTGCGTCGTGGAGCGCTGAGCTGAGCTAGACTCATACCGTACTGCACAAAATATCTTGCAGCTCCCTTTCACCCCTCTCTGCACCTCCTCCCGTGCCTTGTTGCTAAATAGCTGCAACAATTCAAGCTGGAGAGATTAGATCACCCCGGGGGTTCGTACAGCAGAGCCTACTTAACACCAGCCAGTAATCTGGCATTATGCACTCTTTGGGACAGCAGTCTATAAAAACACACGCACAGCACGCTGGCGGTTTCCATGGGCCGGTCTGTGCAGCCGGGGTTGCCTGGTTCAGCTATTTTCTATTCTGCACTGGCCGGCTTACTCCTCGGAGTGAGAACTTGCCGTTCACGTGCTGCAGCCTGCCGTGACTCAGAGCAGCCTTGCTGTCTCCCGTGCTCAGACCACAACTTCGCCCCTGCGTACAGAGCCTTCTTCTCTCTGATGGCTACCATGGCCTCCTAAACATGCCTTGGGGGGGTCACCCATTCAATCCAGCCCTTACCACCAGCTGACTGCACTGCATAAAAACCCCCCAATCTGGGCTTGCTAAAATCAAGTCGTCTGCCGCATCTGACTCTTTGTATTAATCAAGATGATTCTGGAGGATATTTCACTCAGCTCTGTTGATCCCTCCCTGCTAAAAGTGGATGCTGCCTCGTATCTGTTGCACTTGTAATGTGGAGGAATAGAAAATCCTTTGGCGATGCCAAATATAAAGCAGCTATTGAACCGTTTCAATCTGTTCCTTGCTAGACACAGCCCCCAGCGTGCTGTCGCCGCCGCTCACACTCTCCCTCGCTTTGTCGGAGGCAGAGCGGAGCCTCTCCAGCCCCAAGCCCCGACATACGGCAAAGCCCCTACTGAGCTGCAGTGCGAGGGACGCTGCAGGCCTTTGTGCAGCAGCAGGTCTTTAAAGCCTGATGAAAGGGTTGATAAGGAAAAAAAACGGGCTTTGAATACTAAGTGGACACAAAACAGGGCACCCATGTTTATAAAAAAAATACAGTAAAAATGGAAAAGAAAACCCATGTCTCATACGGTCATTAGCATAAATCCCAGGATGGCGTGTTATCAGCATTGCTCTGATAAGGTGAGGAATGCATGAGTTAAGAGGCTGACTCCCCACGCTGGGCTGTGGGGCCCTGTAACACACGGGCTGCTATTTCTGCTTCAATTCCACGGTAAAAGGCTCTTTCCTGAACAACGGTATTGTGCTCCAGGAACGACAGTACAGCCTGGTTTATACTAATCTTTCTGAAACACTCTGAGACCTCCTGATGAGACATATTACAGAAAAAATAGGTAGTCTTAATTCCTTCGTTGTCTCCATCACTCCGGGTGCAAAATACAGTCCATAACAGAGTCCCAATCTATCTGATTAGAGCATCAGCCACTTGCAGACATTCAGCTACACTAATGTACTGCGAAGGATGATAGTGAGGAGGCCTAGAGTTTTAAAATAGAGACAATTTCCAATTTATGTTCTGTTATTGTGATATGCCAAGCGTGAGATCCCAAATGCGCCACAAATAATTGGTCTTAGCTTTTACTCTTCATGCACCGGTCTTTCTTCTGCTCAATTTTTGTCAGTTGTTTCTTGCATTCTTAATTATTAGCGAGGAAGGATAATGCATGCAAACGCTGTGGGGTAAATACTTTTCCAGGCAGGCAACAGCAAACCCCAGAGATACGTTTTAGCCTGCAGAGCAGATGATGAGTTACACCAGGCGTGTATGGCTGAGCTGCTCCCATTACAAACGTGAGGAGGGTTTGACTTAATACCAATAAAGTCACTCTCTTGAGGAAAATGAAGGCCATTTGGTAATGCTGAAGTATAATCAACATTTTAAAAACAAAGCCATTTAACATCTAATTCAGATTACTTTTATGGGAGTGATGAGAGGGAGGGAAGCATTAAATTCTTGAAAGACATTTTGCCCCAAATGCTCCTAGGCAGCCACCTGGGATGTACATTCATCACTTGGGCTGGGGCTGGGGTCGGGGCTGGCTGTGTTTCCAAGACATTCTTTGTGACAAAGATAATCTTACATTTGACTGAAGGTTCGACAAACACGAACTTGATTAACTTGCTGTTGCAGTGTTGTTAGAGGAACAGGACTGTACAAACAAGAACTCCCCGGTGGGATTTTTAGAACTGACCCAACTGCACTCCAGTGAGGCCAGAGACAAACCAGCAGCAAAGGCTTTTGTACATCTCATCGTGTTTTTTCCCAAGGAACTTCTTCAGAACTATTAGCAAGACGGTGTCACCAGGTAGCCTGCCTGAGAAGATGAAATTGAGGCTGGAAACAAAACAGACAACCGCTAATATCTCTGTTATTAGGATCATTCATTAGGCTTGTTTTTTCCATAAGGATTTATCCTGATGTCTTATCACGAATGACTAATTCCTTCTCTTCCTCATTTTTCTCGTGTGTATCTGATGTTGCTCATGCAATTGCTGTACTAGCAACTGCAAGCTTGATATTCCTGTGGTCAAAATGGGACCATGTGCCAGTACATCACAGAGGTGATTTGAAGAGGGAATACGGAATCTTGTACAATCTACAAACAGGACTGACCAAGGGCAAATGGGATGGCTATCTTGTTTGAGTACTTTGGAGTCCCACTTCAAACCCCCGCAGAAGTCAGGAGAAAATCCAAGGGAGGGACAAACCCCACGTGTCCCTTCCAGCCGCCGCTGGTGAGTCAGCCCTGGATGCAGGGCACTGAGATGGCCCCAACGGTGACAGTCAAAGAGGGCACAAGACAGATATGCCTGGAGAAGTTGGCTGGAGGAGACAAATCTTTAGAAAATATTTGGAAAGTCTTTAGAAAAACACTCTGTGGGAGGCTTATGCTGACTGAGGATAGTAAAGCAACCAAAGTGGCCAGGGTGATGCCTTCGCTTCCTCATCCCTGCGACCAGCTTGCCAAAGGCAGCACAAGTGCTCCGCTTTGTCTTGCTGAGATGGCTTCGAGCGGCTGAGAAAGCTGTTTTGTCTCTGTGCTGAGCTCTTTCCTGAGCAGTGCATTAAACCCCACACCACAGCTGATGAATTTCCTGCGATACTGCTGCCAGACTTCGAGACCAGACCGAGATTGTTGTCTCAGTACCCCACGAACTGTCAAATAAAAGTTTATCGTGGTCACTGAACTGGTAAGGCAAAGCCTCAGAGCATTGCAAGCTCTCTGTAAAGCTCTTTCCCGTTAGTTATGCCTGTCCCTACTGTCAGTCCTGTAAAAAATAACCATTTCCCTTCTTTCAGGGCAAGTTTTAGTAAGTTCAGTCCAGAATTGTAACACCCCATGTAACCCTGTGCAGGAAGCTGCAAAACTTCAATCCAAAAGGGTCGTTCTTGCTCCCAAATCTGTTCCTGACCTCTCTACATTTATTTTACGTGGGTGTGAAATTCTCTTTGACCTAATTACAATTCCCACTTGGCATTTTGGTGCTGAAAATTTAGATGTAGAGCTGCTGCACAAAAAGTGTGTCAGATGCACTGTGGTCACCTCTGCCTTTCAGAGCAGAAACGAGCAGACGAGGGCTGCAGGCACTGAGATCATTTTACATTTAAGCCAGTGTTTAATTCTCCTAATAGCACCAAGATTGCAAGAGCTCAAAGCCTTACACCCAGGATTAAGAGACCTCCTAAATATAGGCTTCTTGTTGCAGGGAAGGTATAAGAAAAACAAAGTCGCTGAGAACTGTTCTTGAAAAACATTTATTTCTGTAATGGGTTTATAGCGCTGACTCCCAAGCCCCAGTACAACACAGTTTCCCCCTACACATAATTCTGGGGACAATGACCTTCGATGGAACAAAAAAAAGCCATACAAAAAAGCCCCCCAAACAAACAATCTGGTACCAAACAAACTGTGCCCAGGTTATCTCTGGGCTTCTGCTGTTGAATGTTTCATCCTGACTGGGACAGAGCTGCCCTGCTCCATCCCTCGGTCCCAGCTGCAGGATGGTTCACTGCCTGAAGGCCCCAAGTAACTGGAGATGTTGTGTTTAACTGCAAAAGAACAGGGGGGACATGGGCAGAGAAGGCTGCTAGGATTCAGCGGCTACTATTTTTGCAGACATCATTTAAAAAGGAATTCTATGCATTTCAGTTTCACCTCCTGAGCCCCAGCATTAGGAAAGTCAAATACAAACCCAGAGACCAACATACACAAAATAGTGAACAAGTGTCCAGACATTTCTAAGCCCCTCAGTTTACTGTGCCATGATACCTCCAAAAAACAACAAAACCCCCACATTCGGATCATGTTGGATCTTATTTTTGAGAGGGAGGGGTAGAGATGCAGCACATAGCATAGCAACTGTCAAGCAATGTTTAAGGCAAATTTATTCCCATTTATTAAGAGTTTAACTTTTTTGTTTGTTCGCTTTGTTGTTTAAGCTGTTAGATAACATCTCAGCTGGACATTGAAGCTTAGACAATTTAATCAAAGTTTGAGTGAAGTCAACCCAAGTTGATCTGAGACTAGAACAGCAAAAAAAATTATTCCCAAGCATATCAGTGAGAACAAATTAAAAAAAAAAGACTAAAATAATGGATGTTCAGAACTCCTCCAAAACTCTCTCCCCTCAGAAACCAGGTTGAGCCCAACTAAAACACACAGACATGCATGCATACGAAGGACACAATGGCAAGCCTCTATGAACACAATGCTGAATAGGACCAAAGCAGAGTCAAACCTAAATTCCTCAGATGCAAGAACACAGACAGAGTTATGAGTAAAAAAAGTGGGGAAGAAAAAAAAATCAGAACCCCAGAGAGGGCTGTTTCATGAGATGGAATGGAAAATAGAAGTCCGCTGTATGCAAAGAAAGGAAGTTCTTAGGTGCACACACAGAAAGCTGGGGATTTCAGTTGCCTCATCTCTCAGTTATGTTAATTTGTTGTGCCTTTCCCCTCCCTTTGAGATCCAGGTGATGGTGCCAAGAGGTTCGTGCATTTACTCAGTCTGTGCATCATAATTAGCCCCCCCTGCTTTCTTCAGCTCGTTCTTGATGTAATCCTCATCCAGCTCTTTGTGGTCACTGATCACAAATTCTTTGGCAAAGTTCTGCAAGAGATAAAGAAAAAGTGTGTTAAAAAAAGAGACACTTGTCCACGTACCTGAATAAAGAAGCGTTATCCAACTTCTGTGGCTGCATGAGCCGTATACCTTTATCTACTGTGGTAGGATGATAAACAGAAAGCTGTGGGTGAGATAGAAGACTAGTGATGGCAAAACCCAAGACTTCACCCGGAGAAATTTTATATTTCTGTTTCTACAGTCACTGGCTGTGAGACCTGATCCTGGCCTACGCAAAGGACACTACAGGACCGTACCCCACCGGCTGATGGGAGGATGCTTTGATTCAAGATCGAGTAACACGCAGATGGTACTAGGAGCAAATAAGTCTGCTTCAGTAGATTTACTGACTCATCCTCTCAACTATCTAATACACATTGTGGCCAAAACCAAGATACCACACTAGACAGGCTGCTGGCGTTCTTAATAGGCTCCACTATGCTCTGTGGTCTAATGATCCAAAATGACCTTTAAGGACACACTTTATTAATACACTTGTGTGCTGCAGGGCAGCTATCTGGCTGCTTGAATGCTCTTTGCAACTTACGGGAGCTGGGCAAGCCCACGGCAGCGTGCTGTGATGTGAGGTTGTGAACAGAGAAAACCTTTCTCAGAACATAACGCTGTGATTGGGATCCCACGGTGCCTTTAGGGCACTTGTCACAGCAGTGTCACTACAGTCAGGGATCTGTTGCTTCGGAGGGGTCGTCCCTCCTGCCTCATAGCGAGGTTAGCAGGCATGTGTGTGCACAGCCATTTAAGCAAATATGCAGATTTGCTTCTTGCTTTAGCATTTTCCCTCACTTCCTAACCACAACTGAAAACATCATTGCATGTGTCTTTCCCTTCCCCCCAACCCGCAGAGGTTTTAGCAGCGTGAGAAACACGAGCATCCATGGCACTCTGCATGGCCAGGGACAAACGGACGACAGAAAAATGAATTAAAATCCCAACAGCCCTGCTGCAACGGCTCAGGAAAGCCAGCGAGCACCCCAAAAGGTGACAGAGGCTGCCTGGGAAATTCAGGCAATAATTTGAGAGAGAAGCAGTCATCTCGTCCAGGTCTCCCCAGCGCTGGAACAGCCCCGGCACAACCGCGGAAGGGAGGGGGGGTTTCTAATTGGTTTCAGACTCTAAGCCATGGGAGCACTCTTTATTTGGCAACGTCTCAAGGGTCTCAGTTTGGGATCAGAGTCGGGTAGAGGAGGGGGTGGAGAAGGATTCTGCTTGAAAGAGCCTCAGCACCTCTTTTCATGCAGTGGAAAAAATGGAAGGGAGAGCAAACCGGCTCCCTCCCCCACGCCAGTCTCCCAGGCTGCGGCTGATCCTGTTTCACACTGTAGGAAATCCTCACTGCTGAAGAGTTGTATAGGGGGAGGAAGCTTATAGCAGCTATGAGACGCCTTGTCTGCTCTGCTTTATTTTATCAACAGCTAGACAAAGTCCTGAGGAATAACAACTGCTTCACGGCACCATTTTGCTCCATGCTTCAATGGTCAGCTTTTCTGGTGTGAGGACAGACAGACATTGCAGGCATTCATCCATGTCTCAGCAGGGTTCAGGGAAAAGGGAAAGAAATTGCTTATTTAGAGAAAAAATTTTTTTTTTTTTTTTTAAGGTGGGAAATGAAGAGGCAAACCGCCCAAAACATCAAATTTGGTCATGCTCACAAGTGTCCTACTTCCAGATCTCCGGTGTGAGATCTTTGCAAAGCTCAGCTCTTGCTAAGAACAAACAAATGAATTTCAACTGTTTGATGCTCACTGAGATTTTTGAGCTCAGCCTTTTCAATTTCTTTTCTATGTGCTAACAGGTTTAACAAATTTTCCTCAACTCAGGAAACAGATTATCCAGGACCACACAACCTCAGTGCTAGTCTTTGCCTTGACTTTAGTGAGGACTGGGGCAGGTCCATAAAATAATTTCCGACAGGGATTCCATGGAAAAATGTGTGTATTTTATAAATGTGGGGCGGGTTTCCTTCAATGCCCACTTTGCAGAATCCAGCTGATTCTGAAATTAAAACTGGAAGTGCACTCATGCATGAACAGCGGGGAGCTAAATTATATGTACCACAAAGTAATTATAATTACTCAAATGTCTTCTCAACCAGACAGTTACCCAGATGATTCCTGGGTGATGATCCGTGGGCACCAGTCACTATTTCATGTCAATGCCACCGAAACATCTTGCAAGGTTTGAACAATCTCCCCCTAGCAGTTGGCCACGGGTTATGTTCCCAGCCACTCTTTCATATCCTTTGAGCTGACTGGGCCACCTCTTGTGCCAGATTTGTGCCCTCGCAGTGCAATCTGGGTCACTGCTATTAATAACTCTTTGCTTTACTCCATTCTGCTGGCAGGTGCTGTCGGGCACTTCTCTGGTTCTTCGCACCGATTCTTACCCACCACGATGTTTCATCAAGCTTGGCCCCAAAGGAGAGAAGATGCTTTTGGTGAGTTTTCTGCCTTGGACTCCTGCTTTCAATATCCTGTTTGAGCCTTCTTCAGCCATAGCCTCCCTCATTGCTCTGAATTCACTGTTTGAGGTCTCTGGGGTTGAGGTTGGTAAAGATTTGTTTAGGGTGCAAACTGTAAGGTGAAGGGAGGCATGTAAGTATTTTAGAGACAGCTGAAAATGCCTCTTGTGTCATCAGGGCAGGAAGACAGGAGGGACTCTGGCTCTCAGATAAGGAGACTGGGCTCTCACGATCAACAGCAGCACTTTTCAGCCTAGGGCCATCTTATCCAGAGTTCACTCTTTTTTTGTCCCTGCTGAAACTGCCAGAATATAAAACTACTCCCAACTGATATAATCGGGTCTGATGGTAGCTAACCCAGGCAATGGTCCTTATTCGGTGTGACTGTCATCTGCAATTATACATAACCGATCATAGCAAACCGGCTCCTGCAAAGCACCAGGAGGGAGCCTAGCTTCAAGTGGCTAACAGCAATGCCAACGGGCATCTGACTTCAGTCAGATTTCTGTTCTGTCACCAGATTTTCTTTCTGCCCTTAAGAGCCTGGGATGGGGAAAGTCTCCGCTTTCTCTTCTCTCACACATACCATTATCTAATGCCTTTCAAGAAAATTGCAGAACAGTTATAGGTGCCTAAGGCACAGGGCATAACTCTGATGCTTGGGCCTTCACTTTGCTGACATGTGTCTTCATTTTACGTCCTCCACTTCCTCTTCTCTTCTCCTCCCCCTGTCCCCAAGCGTTTTACAACAGCAGCAAGCCCTGCCAATGAATTCCAGCCTTTGTATTCACCCCAGAGTCACCAGCAGCCTACAGATAACAAAAACAATGATGCCATTTATCTTTATCACTCTCACGACACAACAGTGACCATAGTCTCTTTGCTTTGCCTCTCAAATCATTGAACATCACATAAAAAGTAAGGTTTACTCACGGTTCTTCAATCTATCTACCTCGCACATGCTTCACTTTTTGTTTGAATAGCAGAGGGTTACAATTTTGCAATCCAATCCCCTTCGTCAACCCCCATGCAACACTGCACAGGTAAAAGGGCTCCAACCACGCAGGTCAGGTTGCAAAAACTGAGCCTGCATCTCTCCCTGGGAAGCATGAAATTTGTGCAGCAAGCTCAGTCCAGCCTTTCTCTTCCAGACAACTTTGGAGGGGGGGGGGGAAGGGTGGAGTAGATTTTCTTCCTATTCCAGACCCTGAATGTTTAGCATATGGGGCCATAAAATTTCCCTAAGCTGGCCAAGGGAAAATCTGCCTGGTGCAGATACTGTACCAAAAAGGTCTGCAGAGGCCCTTATAAATCCCAGCATGGGCAGGCCTGAAGCCAGAAGGAAAATCCTTGTGTCGTCTACAGACACTTGGGTTCTTAGCAGCTGGGGACGGTGCCAGGTAGTTCAGCAGCTTCTTGCTGTTTTTATTTATATTGGGGCTTGCAGCAGCCTCCACTGATGTTCAAAATCCTCAGTTCTAATGTCACCACTCCCATCAGCTGGTCATCGTATTTTCAGTGCAGATGAATACAGAGGAGATGACATCTCCCATGTTGCTTTTCCAGCATGGTATGAGTCCTAGACCTGCGGTTATGGAGAAGAAAGGACATGTCCTGTGGCTGCAGCAGAGGTATGTTCTAGCAGGGCTCCTCTGAGTACAAGGAGAGCTATGAAGTGACAAGCGCCCCTAGCAATACAGTACCACTGCCCTCCACTCTGGCTACACCAAACCTGGTCCTGCGATCAGCTGTCAGAGTCCAAGCTATCAGCAAAACCCCTCTCTTCAAATGTACTCTTTGCCAATTTTTACATGGACCAGTTCCAGCCACTGGGAGAAGCCAGCCCAAACCTCTGGCAAACACATCTCTCAGCAATGGGAACTACATTTCAGCTGATCTGCAAATTCTTCCTATCTGTGCTGCATCCCACTGGAAAAGTCACAGGCCTGTGTGTCAGATGGGGGGTGATGAGAAGCTGCTTATTCTGGCCTGAAGAAGTTACTTATAAAGTTACCACCTTCCCTAGACTAGGAAGGACTAGGAGTTCTTACAAATCCATATCCATTTGGTATGGTCATTACAGTAAACCATAATAGGAAAAACAGTCAAAAAGAACAATTTTGTTTGCCTTCCCAGCAGGACCTCTCTCACTTTCCTGAGAAAGACTGTCTCAAAGCCACCATAACGTAGCTGTTGTTACCCTATGAGTTTGATTTTCTGCTCTCTGCAGAAGACGACTGCCTCTAACAAAGCTATTAAACCATCTTCTGCCTAGGCCACTCTACTAACACGAGAAACCTAATGCATATACATGGACTTATATGTGTTGTATCTGTCCTGAGATCAGGGACAGTAACCCCAGAAGTGGTCCTGCTCATAAGGTACCAGCATCACTGCAATGAGGAATCCAGAGGAAAAGAGAAAGGTGAACAAAAAAAGATCTGGCCGTGAGCTCCAAAGCAGGAACTCAATAAACTTGTTGACATCACTGAAGTCAGGCAAATTCCTCACCAGAAATAATAATGAATAAAATGCCAGAAATATTTGCTTACAGAAACAGAGCTGTTTTACCCTGAATATGATTTAGGCAAATAATAGAGCACATGACTTTGTGGGGGCAGGAGTGCTGAAGAAAACAGAGAAGAGTCAAAATTCATGGAAAATAAGACAAACTGGCAAAGGTTGGGCAGTCCCTTTGCTGAGACAGCCCTGCAGGGGAATTCAGTCCCGTCAGGAAAAAGACCTCCACGCTGCCTAATGAAGGGTTAAAACCTCCTGGAAGGAAATGCAGTCATGAAGGGCCACAAGTTCAGAGAGAGGAAGCAACATGCAGGGGGAAACCAAGTCCTGTTTTCAGTTCTTCAGCATTTACATCAAAACTGGACCACTTCAGCACTGGTTGCCGCTCCCAGCCCCACAACTGTTGTGCCTGGGTTTGTCCTCACTGGAAGAAAATGTCCCATCCCATTTCTGCCTCTCCTCAAAGTGAACGGGGCCATTCACTGGAAAGCCTGACGCTCCTGTACTTCAAACCCACAGCTGCCAGGTTTCACCTTGCAGGAATTTTTATGGCTGAACTGAACCTCATGCTGGCAGCTGTTCCTAGCCATGACAAGCAGCTTACAATAGCCTTGATTTCTGGGCTTAAACTGACTGACCGGTTTCTCCTGGGCCTCTGAAATAAAAGAGGTCGAAACAACAGCCCTCAGACCAGAGAGTCTCCTGGATGGATTTGTACTAAGGCTGAATGAGCCACAGCTTCAGCATATAAAGGAGGTAAAAGGCAGAACCATCCTTACTGCCAGGGACATAAACCATGAGTTTAAGACCAGCTTTGGATGATCTCCTCTGTAGCCACGTAGAAAATATGCCCAAAGCCTTTCCGTTCAGCTGATATCTACTGGCAGTTGAGTACAACCTTGGCATGACAACTGTGGCTCACAGTCACCAAACTGCAGCTGTGCAGAGGGTGCTGTGGGGTCTTCTGCGCGTGTGGCTCGCTGTAAGCACCTGCCAGTGCACCCACATGCACGAGGTACGACACACTACTGCTGATGACAAAATAGATGCAGCCTTGCAGTTTAAGTCATCCTGGCTTACTGTTTCATAAAGTTCCCCAGTTGTTAAGTTTAGACCATTCTAGATCTATGTTTAGACTGTACCCCAGAAATGAACTCCCAAACATCTTAAGCAACAGTCTGCAAAGCATGGGACGTTGTGTGCTACCCCCAACCCTTGGTCTGTCCTTGGCCTAGACAGAAGCTCAGTGGAGAAAAGACAGGATACTGCATCACCTTGCTCCATGTCTCCATTTCCAGAGGAAAGTCTGCACACATTAGTACTTAGCAATACCCTTAAGAAGATATAGATAAATACCTGTTCCCCATCCAGACCTTACTTCTAACCTGCTCTCAGCTGAACTACTTGGACCAGGTCACAGGCTTGATCCAAGATTTCCAGCTGAAGTAAAGAGGAAAGGATAGAAAATAAATGGTTGTGGGAAAAAAGCCGCTGAATGTTCCTTAGACGCAAAATGCATTTTTCTACAATCCAAAATAAATGCAATCCTCATTTTCCAACAACATTAAAGAGGTAATAAGGATAGTCCCAAATAAGCAAGATGATCTGATTCTCAGCTAGTACAGATCAGGAGAACTATGGCTATTTGCACCAGATGAGACCCATCCCTGTAATTTTACAGTTATTACAGCTAAAAATCAATTGTCCTTTCTTCCTGAGAGATTTTCTGGCAACCTCCTCTGCTGACTATCAGCATTTCTTCCCAAGCCACCTCCCTATAGATTTCACAGCACCTGCTCCCCCTTCCAAGGGAGGAATACAAAAGCGAGGGCAACCCAGTTCCTCTCCTTGCTTTATAATATTTCATCCTTTTGTTCACAAGCCCATAATCTACTCTTCAACAGTTAATATCCCCTACATTTTCCTTATGGCAGGTGCTTCTAGGAGACCGTTAATAATCACCGTGTGTGAACATGCTTTATTCTACAGATGCAACATGGTGGGTTTTGCTCGCCAGGCAGTATTCAAGCTGACTGTCTTTCACTTTGAGTGTCTCGGTGGAAGAACAACGTTTATTGGCATTTATTCGGCTTTGAGCAGAGCTCAACCATAGCTCATCAATGTATCTACGACACAGCAGAGACTATAAAGCAGGCCTCCCCTCACACCGGAGCTTTGATCTTGAAGAGCGAGCTGCAGTTGGCTTTTGCAAATATTACAAGATAGTGAGAGCCCTTCAAGAGTTACTGAGGACTTCTCAGACCGAAGAGCTGTTGTTCTGGAATCCCAACCAATCACTTCTATAGATCACAAAAATCAAAGCTGTTATCTGCTGTAGACGAAGCCTCCTTGTGCCACACTTCCTTGGAAGGAGAGCCATGTCGCACAGGGTAAATGCATCTACGCATCATGCACACAAGTAAAACTGCAGAGTGCCAAACTGCATCGATAGCCTAGATTCTTGTCAGGGCTTGTAAAGAAAAAAATTCCCACTTTAGGGTACTCCTTATTCCAAATGATGAACCAACACCAAGTCAGTTCTGTATTTTATCATGACAGCAAACAACCAACCGTGTTTTTCTACATATAACTCACATCTCAAATAATCTCTGTAAAAATCAGAAACAGTGGGGTGACTCGGAATGTATTTGAAGGTCAAGAGTGAAATTGCTCTGGGATAAATTCCCTCCACTAAATTTCAGTTGGACTTCCTTGTCCTCTTTTGTTTTGACAGATTATCTGCAAGGTTACATGCATGAAAGGAAGAAAATAGTTCTGCTTTTATCCCACTCCACTCAGAGGGATTCAGCTGCACATGTAGAACTATTCAAAATAGTTGTCAAGATAATTTCTAATGGAGAGGAGATCACCATTGACATTACATTCAGAAATGCTGTGGAGTGGGTTATAGACATGGTTGTTCAAAAAAAGCGTATTAAGCACAAGTTGTATAGTTTTCATATTGTAGTACAGATCAATTGGAATATGAAAGCTTTTAAGTAACAGCCAAGAATGGTTGATGTTCCACCAGATTATTAATGCATACACACTACTAATCAAAGATGAAACAAGTGAAATTGCAAATTATATGTAACAGACCTGAGGGACAGATCTTAGAACAGCATTCAGGAATGCTATTCAACTCAACAGAAATAAATGGTCTAAACATATTTTTTAAAAAATCTTGGGCTTAGTAACTCTTATATGAGTCATTGATTAGTACTCTATAATTTCATCTTCAGCTACAATTACGCAGTTTCAGCTGCTTCACATGAACAGAGATTTGCTTCCCTGTCTCTCAGGTGTCATTATAGAAGTTTCTTTTCAGAATGGACCCCTCTGCGTAGTTATCATTTTGAAACATTAGGACCAGTGCTTATCTTCTGGAAGGATGTGAATTTATTCTATTCTTCATGCCTCTTATCTAAATATAATCTTATGTATCATACAAACTACCAGTGAATTGAGGGGGACTTCATTCTCATCCTTCATATTGTCCTGTTGGGAGATTTCTTTCCATAGGCAAGAACAGTTATTGAGGGAAATTGTTTCAATGGTCAGCCTGTTCTTCAAGTGCACAAGAAAGACCATTTCTCAGGCATTGGAGAGCTGGCCCTAGATTTAGTTGGAGAAGCTAATCTTGCATTAAATACTTCTTCAGAGGAAACATGCTAAATGTTAGCATCTTCTCCGTTGCAGTCAGCTTTTTGGCGGCAGTTCTTTGCGGCTTCCACAATTCACTTCACTTGGGGCTGTTGCTTGTTTTCACTCGCTTGGACTGAGCCTGGAGCCCAACACAGCAAGCCCAGCTCAGAGTGCCCTGGGAGGCCTTGACAGAGTTAAATGATAAGCTCAGTTGGGGCAGACAACTTCAAGTGAAGCCCTTCCAAAGTGTGTACTAAGCACACTTCTCTTTTTTCCTGATACGCCCAAAACCAAACAGAAGACTATTCAAATCTAGTTAGCTATTAAGAGCTGTTAGTTAATTGGTACTGATAGGGACTTCAGACTTTAGTTGATTAGGTCCACGAATTCATTGTGCTGAGACAAAAGGCCTCAAGAGAAAAGTTTAAACAAGGGTGTGGGTTTTTCTGTTTAATTTTGCCTGCTTAACTTAATACTGCCTTGTTCTCTACCATTCAATATTATGTTATTTCCATATCAAGGAAGGAGATGGGAAACATCTTAATGCTGACAAGGAGGGGAGCTCATATATTCCCTCTTCATGAAATAGTTAAGACGGCCTTAAGCTCAAAGGTGCTTCTTTATGCCTGAGTGCTCAAAGGTGTTAAGTCTTCCTAGTAGGAAGACAGGCAATAGGAAACCATCTTCTTTTTAAAGGATTAACTACTAAGTTGAAGGATGATCCAGTCCTTCCCCCTCTCTTACCTCCTGCTGGTGTTTGTACAGCTAAAAATGATGAGAACTGGCGGTTAGAAGCAGAAGGAGGAGGTTACCTGTACTACTTCTTTGACCAGAGTCTTGTCGGTCCCAGTTTTGGCTCTCTGCAGGCCACTGACATCCTCTCCAATCCAAGTGATGAGGGCAAACTTGACTCGCTTGCTCATGGCATCGCCGGTTGTGAATCGGACAAAGCCAAACAATCGAACATCATCTGGAGAGACAAAGCAACGAGGGTAAAGTGATTGAAAACAGAAACATCCCTGCCTTACCATTTTCCGGGGTGAGACTATCGCTCTCAAAGACCACGTCATGGCACTGATCCTGTGTTACAATAGCGTCGTTCTGGATGAACAGGGCAATACAGGGGCTCTGCTCACATGCCCTCCACTGGCAAGGTGCACTTTGCCAGTGTTAGGTCTGCCTCTTCCTGGGGTGCTCAGAGCTACTGGGAGGAATGTGGCTGTGCCGGCCACCCCATGCCACATCAGTGTGCTGCTAGTAAGTTGGAAATGGCTAAAACATAGCCAACAGGCAGCTCAAGAGCACAGAGCTAACCTCAGTGACATTCAGCTGCAGGTTACTGGTCAAGAAGGGAAGAAAGTGATTTCCCAGCGACTCGTTAGAGGACGGCAGGCTTGGGGTCACATTTTATTACATATACCCAGAAAATGGCCATTGTGCAAATCTGATACTTTCCTCTCCTTCCCTTCAGCAACATTTCTGGCTCACTTGTGGTATGAGTTTACAAGAAGGAGGGGAGAAGAAGGAGCAAAAGAAAAATCTGCAATTACTTCCCCAGATGTGCTTTTCTACTCCTTCCAAAGGCCTTGGATTTTAAAACTGTTCTGATCTTTGTTTCACAGCTGGTTTCTGCTATAACACGCCAGACTGGAGTTATTTAGTCTGGCCATATGTGTAAAAACCTTGCAAACTCTTGTCTTGAAGAGTTCATTCCTTCATTGCAGGGTGACTCATGAACCGAGGCAGTTGGACGCCTTCATGATCACAGGCACTTAGACAGCGTGTGATACCATCCGCTCATATCCCCAAGCCTCGGTGGCATGTACGATCCTGGAGCCTTCAACCAGGATTGTGCAGAAAAGCAGAGCAGATGGACAGTTGTGCAATCGTGGAATATACCTAATCATAGCTACTTCATCTGTTAAAGGTCACTCAAGACCTTTTAAATGAAATGAGATGACTCAAAATAGAAGAACAAACTCGCTGCTTGAAAAGAATCATGTTAATCCTGGTTGCACTTGTTGTGACCAGTTCAGCATGTTTTATAGTTATTTGCTGTCTTGACTACTGCCAGGTGAAAACGCAGGCTCCAGGTGTAGCAACGTTTGCCAACATCCCCATCTTTGGATCCTTTACAGCACGCTCCGTGAACGGTCAGGGCTGCCCCAGTTCCTCCGGGGATAGGGGAGAGGCAGCTCTAAATTGCTCATCCTCAGAAAATAAGCTGCTAGAAATCAATACAAAAAAAGTGGGATGCTCTCTGAAAGCTGACAGATCTCAGAGCTTCTTTAACACTTTGTTTTGCCAGAGTGTGAGTAAAGACAACTTCCCCTTGATAAAAGATAAAATGTTTTTAAATCTGGAAAAAAAACACCTATGCTCTCCCTATTTTGTTCTATATGTACTTTTTTGCCACTGACAGAGAACTACTGGGGAAAACTGGAAAATATATGTAAGGGTGTGTGCGAGACAGTACAGTGTTTAAAACAAATTCCTCTGAAGACTTCAAAATTGAAACAAAGAGAAAGAGAAATGTTATGCAAAAGAAAAATCCAGATGGATCTTTGGAAGGAGAGTAACAGTCATGTGTATCGACAGTGCCGGCACACAAAACTCTCTCAGATACTCTATTACTGGCAAGTACAAGAAACGCACAGAGAGACTCCTGGTTCTGACAGTAAATCCTCTTCCCAAGATTGATTAGAACCATAAATGAACCGACAGCCAGGAAATACCCAAGGTGAAGAGAGACAGTAAATCCCCTAACGTTACTATTAACGGTTCTATGAAAAAACCTTGCTTTCCCAGATCTGACAGTAAAGGAGGCCACGCTCTGCTAAGAATTGTACTGTGGTTCCTATGGGAACCCAGTGCTGAAGGGACTTTAATGTCATCAAGTCCTGGCCCCTACTCTACTGTAACCGTGTCACAGCCCTTCCCATGGACCCATCGCTTTCCACCTTGAGTATGTAGGGTTTTCATCCCTGCCCCTTCCACCAAAGGCCGCTACAGACCCTGAAGACTGCTTTGGAATATGCCCCAACCATGGAATATGCCCCAACCATTATAATGAAGGTGAAGAATTCCAAGTTTTTCTGCAGTGCTTTTTCATAGCAACGTATAGAGGAAGTTGGAGGAATTTATCTGTCAGCATGAACTTTAATTTTACATGAACCCACAGATCACTGGCACCAGCTGGATTTGCTTCTCAGCAGAAGAGTTTGAGTGCTTTCCGGTCCTGTCTGAAAGCAGCTTCATCAGCAGCACCGAGGAGAGCCAAAGCCAGCAATTCCATGTGGGCTTTTATCTATTAGATCACCTACTACTCAGTGACTATGAGCAACTCTTACTTCATCATGTTAAGTCCCAGTAAGTTTAATGAGCAACTTTAGTTAGATGTGGGGCTCTGAGTCACCGTCTTGGGCAGAATCTACCTGGGGCAGGTTTACTTGTGGGGGCTTGAATGGTTACACCCGAGCTGCGTGCTTTCTCCTCCTGCCTGCCCATGGAGGTTGTATCCCCACAGTAGGCAGAACTGGCTCTTCAGCTGCCAGTTTTCAGTCCAGTGTATTTAATATAAACTACCAACATGCGACGCTTTAATTTGATGTGCCAGGCTGTGAATTGCCGTGGCCGAGGAGCATTTCAGCAGCTGCCGATAAAGTCAAGAGGGAATGGGAATTGGAGCCCTTAGCAATTAACGTGTCTCTTTTCCTAAAAGGGCAACAGGGACAGGCATGGAGATTTTTAGCACTAGTTCAGCCTGGCTTTGAGCCCCTCAAACTGCAGGTCAAAATCCCTGAGCAGAAGTGGTTGAGTTTCGCAATTAGTCTGAAGCATGTTCAGAGCGATAACAGGATCAAAACCCAAGTTCTTTTATACTCCCAGATTTCCTCTTTCAGAGTTAATCAGTTCTACCCTGCCAGATCACCTTGCTGCACTGGAAGTCATCAATGCCATCGGTGCCAACTCCCCTAGAAATCTCCAGGCATTAATATCAAACACTCCCCCATCCATTTTCACAGAAAAGGACTTACAGTGGGTTTAGGAATTGCTGGGGGGTGTGGGAGTCTAACAAATCATAGAGAGACAGTAGATTTCCTCTGAAAGAGGAAATCCTGCCTAGCTGTATGCAACCACCTTCCTAGCCACTAAGCCATGAATTTCAGGGCAGAGAGAAGCAAATAATTGATCTGGGTAGAATGGAAATAGGAGCTTTATTTGAGAAGATCTCACAAGTTACAA